CGTAACACGTCTGTCGTTGCGCGCGCTCCGCTCCGGTGCGTCCCGCGGAGATACGGCACGGATTTTTCTCGTTGCTGATTTTAATAACAGATTGCCACTGGAGGCGTGGGAGGGAAACGCAGGGATGTTAGCGCCGGAACCCCCGGAGGGACGAGGAAAGGAAGGCGAAAGAGAGAGAAGGATCGGCGCCTGAGTCACTGCTTATACGTGACTACGGCGACGACGCTGCCGTCGCCGCCGCTACCTCCGCTGCCCCTTTCGCCACCCCCGATATAACCCTCCTCTCCTCCCCCTTCCTCGTCCCCCGTGCCGCATTCTCTGCAATGTTTCGCCGTTACATTCTCTACAAATGCGATACCTATACCCCGCCTACGCGAACGGCGGACACGTTCGAATAAATTAAAACGATTCTTTCCGTGACCTGCAACCTCATTTCGCCCCTTCGTCTGACGAGGGGGGCATCTTCGGGCGACGGGTAAGAGCGATAAATAAAATTAGCACGACCCGTGACGGATTGCACCCACGCTTCTGCACTACGTGTACTTGCGTGTGAATAGTTTATCGCGTCCCGTTTATTGCAAATAGATCGGGCCATTTATCGCGCCGGTATAGCCTCGCAAACGAAATGTATTACGATAAACGACCGCTGTCTCTTTCGTAAGAAATGTATATAAATATAAGAGCATATATAAATATAATATAAATATATGTAATAAATTGTGTGTGTATGTAAGTGACCATTCGTAGCAAAATAGGTTATTTGTTTATACAAACTGTTGTTATTGCTCGCCAATGCTGAATCCATTTCCAAAGCATCTTCCACATATTATTGTAACATAAAAAAGTTTCGCTCTCTACAATAAAGGTAAATATTTGCATAGTCGTGTTTTTGCATCTCTAATTAGTGAACTCGAAAAATTAAATAAATTTCGAATGAAAATAAACGTGAAGCTAAATAAAATCGAAAATTAAGTTTTTCAAACATTATCTCGATTTAATCTCGTTTCGCGCTGAAAACTCTTCGGCACACAAGCGAGCTCAATTAGAGTTATCTGGGTACGTTGTGACCAAATTAAAAAAAAAAAATCAAAGGTTGAACGTTTCTGGAACTTTATTCAAAAATTCTAGTTTACACACTCGCGTTTCTTAATGGAAATTTATGCAGAACGCGCTACACGTAATTTCAGCCTTCTCCCCTTCATCAACAAGTCCGTCTGTCCGAGTCGGAAATGGTGACTTTATCATCCTAAATTCGCGCTAACTAATGAGAGACGAAAATTATATTCTTTAGCAGGACGTTATTTTGCCGGAAATGATATTCTTTGACGAGACACGCATATCGTTTCGCATACTCAAAAATTAAAGTGCATACATAAATGTGAGCTCTGCGTCATTATAATTATCATAAAGAACTGGTTAAAGTTAAAATCGTCCGGAATATTGAAAAAGTATACACGACACAGGATCTAAGTACAAAAGTATAAATTTAACTGCAGTAAAATGGTAAAAAATGCAAAGATTAAAAAGTCAAAATTTTTAAATTAGAGTTATTGTTACTCATGGTGTAAACATTAAAAGCGGCGGCGGTATTTGCGTACGTGTCATAATTTCGTAAGTTTACAAGTATAATGCGCGTGGATAAAATATCTAAATATAAGCATATACGTCCCCGAATATCAACACTTGCAGAATATTAATAATGGCAGCAACGATATAATGTTTACCTTTCTGTTAACAGTATTAATGGATGCAACAAGGGAGTTCAATTGTGTTTGCTGAAATTACATTCGCCGCGGCAAACAAATGCTGCGATCGCGCATTGGCGTTCTCCGCGTATTCGAGGATGAAAATATTTCGCGAGACGTTTGCCGCCGGGCGCGCGGCGACGATATGTTTGACGATACCTTTATAATTATCGTATTACGATATTGTCACTCAGTGTACGTCACGTTGACGACGCGACGACGACGCACGAAGTTACGAGAGAGGGATGAAACAGCGGCAACAGCAGGCGGGGCGAGATGAAAAGCGTATACAACAGTTTTTCAGGCCGTAAACTTGTAATGTCATCAGACCGAGGATCGCCGGTAGATGGTTGTAATCTGTCTGACCATTTAATTAATCTCCGCTTGAACACGTAAAAACGCGCCAAGTGTTACCGCCGCAGCCTCCCAGCTGCCAGCACTTGCGTTCGTTCCATCTAAAAATGTGTCGCCAGCGGTATCGTCGAGTAATCATCGCGAAGGCGCTATCGATTTCTACATATAGCGTATATATAAATCGTAATATAGCACGATGCCTGAAATACTCTCATACTAAAACAGTCCTATATTTAAATCTCGCGGTAATAACCTGTGTATCGATATGCTGGCGAAACAAAAAAATTATACGGCCATATAAACAAAAAAAAAAAGAAAAATTTCATATTACAAGTGAAACGTAAAAATTCACCTTGCAAAATATTAACCCGGAACATACGATCGATTCCTCGTTACTACTGAAATTCGTGTGTCGATGTTATTGACTATTGGAATATTCTGCCGTGATACGCAAACAAGTTATAATGTGAAATGGCCACGGGTCAATGAAAGAGCCAATATTAAAAGTGTTTCTTTTGAATGAATGAGAACGATTGAAACGAGAAATTGGACAAAACTGTATTTTGTCGATGGGAACTATACGTTACATTTCGCAATAAATACTATACATACACTGACATTTTACAGCATATTTTCAGGTTTTGCAAATATTAGCTACTAATCTTCGTCGCCGAATGGGACGAGTCCATTCAAAAGCAAAAGCGTAATGAGATGTTAATCCCTCTCATACGTAATTATTCTGCATAATAAATAAGATGATTACTATAATGATGCAAATTGACTGCTAAATGTCTCTCCTCCGCCAACTGCTTGATAAAACTATTTATATTAATAAAGAAAAAATAATTTTGCAAAAATTTTGTTTTAACTATAATTCTACAACATTTAATTGTATCTCGAGACTCCAGTACTTAATTTATATAAATTTTTTCATGACGTCATTATGCATCTAACTTTTTGCGAAAAATACAACGTGTCTGGAGGCGAACGTCTGTAGACCGTACGTATATAATGTGGAACGGAGCGGGGTTTCTATCAATTTCTTACATATAATTTCTCGTCGACGATGTTGAGATATACACAAAACTATTGCATTACTCAATCGTAATTTGACTTCAAAAGAGCCCAAGGTAATACTCGTTGACAAAAGGCTTTGCCGGTTACACGGTCGCAAATAGAATTAAAGGACGCCTAAAAGGATAATCCGTAGCATATCCGCGTCGAGAACCGCGGCAAATACATCCGCCTGCTTCCTCATCGCGCTCCTCTCGAGCAACGTCTCAGCCGAATCATAATTACGACGCGTATCTCTTTCTGACGCTGTTGAATTAATTAGTTTTAGTTTAATTATATGGATAAATCATTATTCTCCGTTTTCTCATCTGTTCCCCGCAAGATCTCCCGGCGTGCAGCCCCGGATTGGCTTAGATCTTACGTAGAAACTCGAGGGAGCCGTCTTAAGAATACGAAGATTATGTTTTGCATAAGCTCCGACAAACTTCCGCTCTCATCGCTCTACACTATCTCTTTGTAGTCGACTTAAAAGGCGGATGCAATTTTACTTTACGGATAATTAATAATTAAATATCGCGGAGCTTTCAAAGGTAGCGCAATACGGCGCACGGGATTGTAACCGTCCCTTCTTCATTGAGTATCTCAGTATCACATAATGCGCGTGTTTCATTTTCTTCTTATACTTGTTTTCACGGAATGAGTTAAGATATTGAGAAACCGCGGATGTCACGTGAATGTCTTGATAATTTTTACTTTCTGTAATCGATATATCTATACAGGTCTCTATGCGGTTGTGGAGCAAAAACCTGTAGACGCGAAAGGAAGGCATAAAGGGCCGATCCACTTGGAGACGCATCAACAGATACAAACGGCGGATACGGAAACGGAAGCAAAACGAGGGAAACCGTGTCATAGAGGAGCTACGAGGAGGAAAAGGCACGTGCCCGGTATTTAGGAGAGGCAGTAACGTAACAATAGGCAAGTACACAGAGGGTGGAAAACGGTAATGGTGTGTCGCGGTTCGCCCGAGCTTACTTTTATGTCTCACCAGGGAACCTCCGCCGTCTCTTTCCCTTTTCTCCCTCCCTCTGTATCGTCCCCGTTGACACGCGCACTCACACACATGATCGTGACTTTCAACGCCCCTTTGGCTGCCTTTCTACCGTTGCCGTCTCTCATTCTATCCCTGTCTTTATCTCTTCTCTTGCTTTCGTTCACTTGCACGCTTATTTTAGCGCAACGGGAAGCAACCAGAGGCAAAAGAGAAAGAGAGACAAACAGAGAGGGAGGGAGGTGAGAGACTCAGTAAAGCCCGCTTTGTCGTCGGTTTCCTTTCTATGTTATTAAATTGTATGTGTTGAACCCCTTTCTCCGAGCAGCGCACTGTACCGACGTAGTGCAATGCCGCAGTTGCCACTTAGAGGCTACCTCACAGCTGCAGCCGGTCTATACCTTATTTGTCGGCAGGTACCTTTACTCTCCCGAGAAATCTGGTTGCCCGAAATCTGGTTATGCGATCCTTTTCGGATCTTTTCTTTCCACTTCTCTTTTTTAACATCAATATGATGACTTTTTAACGAAGATACGTCTGTGATATTATCGGAATGACAAAACTATTGAAAATCAACTTTTTTAAGCATATGTTCAATGATTACCGCAATAAGCTTTAATAGATTAAGTAAAAAAAAAGTATTTACGCGAATTTATAAAAGATGAAATTTACAAGGGGAAACTCATCGCGCAGAGGCAACTGATAAAATGATATTGATACATTGGGATTACCTATATTTTTTATAATAGTTACAACCATTTTTTTTCTGACTTAAGAATGACGCGCTAAACCTCAATAGATTATCGCAATTCGAATAGACATAGAATTATACTTACAGTCGACCGACACTTTGATCTGCTTGCTAACCGTCGGTGGTATGCCGTTGCTGGCGATGCATAAATACGCGCCCATGTCCAATCTCGAAATCCGCGCCATTTCCAGCGTTTCGCCCTCCCATTCTGCCACTGAAATCGCAACCGTTCAACATTCATTACTTGTCAATCGATTCTAGTTAATTAGTTCACATTCTCTCACGATATATGTACATACTTTTAATTCCTTTACATATTTAAGAGGGGATTAATATATGATTGTGTTTTGTCTCTCGGACTCAATATATGCACTTTTAATTCCGTTACATTTTTAAAGAAAGGATTAATATGTGATTGTTTTTTTTTTAAGTGTTTTATACCGCAATTGCCGTTTTCGAATCTTGTTTAAACTTTCGTGATTTCGATTAAGTTTTCATATGAAGATTGTGTCTGTCAGACACAAATTATATTATCTCGCCATAAAATTATGTTGTACGCACCAGATAAAGTTTTGTTGATCGAGATTTTGGTACCGTCGTCCCGCTTCCAACGAATACTAGGCGTCGGACTTCCGGTCGCCTTGCAGGTGAGACTCACGTTGGCGCCCTCGCGAATGATCGCATCCGACGAACTCTGCGAATCATCGATATTCGGTGGCACTGTAACAATAAACATAGACAGTTTTAGTCTCAACTAACAATACCAAATTTATATAAACAAAATATAGGAGATGAAAATGAGACGCATAGGCAATAGCGCGGTATATAATTTAAGTAATGCAGTGTAATATAAGTAATGCGTGAAAAAAACAATGTAAAGTACCCTTCATTCGTTAAAAATCAAGCGAGTGTTAAACAGAAATCACATTTATAATACGTATGTGTATAGAGAGACACATGTAATATATGTATTGCAATATAATTCACATATGCATGTTGGATAAACTCGCCGCTCTCCCTCCTCCCTACATATAATATAAATATGTTACAGAAACTCGCGCTTTTTGATTGCACAAAGAGATAAAATGTATAAATCAAAGCCACACAGTACAGCGATCGATTATTGATAACTCTTTAATTGTGCCACGACAGCGATATCATTGCGCATTTCACATTTGTGTATATTGACCACGTCGTCACTGCTCTTGAATTAAACGGCTAACCACGTGTGCGTGCGTGCGCGAGAGGCGTATAATTCAATTATAGTGTCGTCGTGGTAACGAATAATATTAGTATATGGACATACGTCGTCTGCAACGTTGACGTTGATCAACCTGGAAATGCAAGTAGCTAGGATTGGTTGACGTGTCTAAACGGACAAATATCGCGCTGCTTATAAGCGAATGTGACACAGTCGAATTACTCATCTTCTTCGTATACTAATTAATCAATCAATTTATGATCGATCGGCATATTAACGAAGAAACGTTGACGCTTCAATATTTTTGGTTATTATCACAAGACGTTATATCGCCTTTGAGTAACCAATCTAACATCGAACTTTTCTGCAACTCACAATCAGTGATACTTGCAGTCTTTATAATTAAAAATAATTTATCGTACAATAAATCTTGTATAAATAAATTGCATATTTTCGAAAAATCTGGTCAGATTGTAACGAGGGTAACTTTATATTCATCATATTATAAATAATTCTTCTCAGTTATAACTTGGACAAATAATTTATTTCGACATTGTAATGTAGACAAACAAATCTATTTCAATATTTAAAATAGAAATGTATGTTAACACACAGTAATTATAATGCAATATAACGGATTGTTAAATTTAATCTCATTGTACTGCGCGATATTTTCTCATTCGAATAAGATTATTTAAGAATAGGGCTCTTGAGGCTAAAAGAGAAGTTGAAGAAATCTAGGGCGACATAGAATTCTAAAATTATGAAATCTCAGACAATCAAAAAGAAGCTTCTTCTTATTAAACTTAAGATTCAAAGTGCACCGTTCCGTAAGATTGGAACCACGCAAACGAAATAAAAAAAAATAAGGCTTAAAACAAATAAGTCGCAGCAGATAATCAGTAATATTTACTGATATGTATTAAAATAACAGTGACTTTTTGCGCAACAAAATTTAAGTGATTCAAAAATATTTAACTTCTCTATGTTATTTGTAATATTTATGTCTTGCAATCTGTAATGCTGAAAATTTGAAATACTATCTAGCATTCTCTTTAATCTTTAAAATATCGCGGATTAGATCTCTGAAATAATCATCATTCTAATTGATTTTTACAAGTTTAACGTGTTGCAATAGAATGTCTATATATATTTAAAAAAAAAAAGAAAATTAAAAGTTATTACAACGTAGCTATTTCTAAATACGAGATGAAAATATGAGATAAAAAAGATATTATTTTATATAACTTTATATAAATGAAAATAGTATAATTGAATGGCCGCTTTGCCCTAACCTCAGTAATGGAAATTAATTCGAGTAGAATATTGCAATTTGCTCTACATTCCCGTATTTCTCGAAACAATACGTTTTTTCTATATTATTCCTGGTGTATTTTTTTCTATATGATCATTATAATGGGAATTTTCATATCGTTCGATATAATTTGCATTGTTATAACAATTAATTGGATAAAATAGAGTAGCGCAATTTTTAAGCAAAATAAATTTTTTTTCCCTATACAATTTTATAAAACAGAAAATTTTATAACATACCATTAAACGCAGGAGCGATTATTATTATCTCACTAGAAAACGCCTGATAGTTTACATCGTCCAATTCTTACAATCGATCTTCGAAGTAGGGAAGAAAATCCGCCTTTTTGTGCGCCAACAGCCGCGTGGCCGGCGCGTACGAGAGAACGCGGCCAATCCTATGAATTACCGCAGGTGTCCGCCGATATCCTGCATTAATGCTAATGCGGGGTGTTACCGAATTGTTGAACAAGGGCAGATTGAACGCGCGCGGAGAGAGGGGAATGCGGTCCGCCCTCACTCTCGCCATTCTGCACGCCGTTATACTGCAGTCGCGTAACGGTCTGTTGATGCATTATTCAAGCGCAAACGCCGCCTCTACCGCGCGCGTGTTGCCGCGCTGTTGTGCGTTAACTTGTCCTAAACTCCGGCAGCACAACGTTCGGGAGACGTCGGCGCGGCGGAGAGATCGTTCGACGATGCTCACTCCGGAGTCGGGAGTCTTGCCGGGGTAAACCACGCGCGCGGGGGCAAACCCACCCTGATATTTCCGAACGTGCACAAAAATATGCGTTATGTGTATCACGCATCTAAATATCCAAATATTGACAATTCTAAACCGGACACCGCCGCTTTTTCGTCGGATTGCCAGCAACATCCCTCTCGACGATCTCTCTGCAGCAAAATAGAAATGTTCTTTCTTTCGGAAACAAAAAAAATAGAAAGTTGCTCTCGAAATTTTTCAATCCTCTTTTTAAACACAAGCAACGAATAATTGATAAAAACATTATTTTAACAATGTTATGTCGATAAAATTGAAAACAATGAAAATTTTTAATATGAATTGGAGAGTTCCAGGATTACAAAACGATTTTTCTTTTTTTCATCGATGCAAGAAGACGTAATCGTAAATTGAAAAGACACGTTGTCATTGTGGTAATCCTAAACTGTCCTAAACCGTTGTTTTGTTTCGCCAGAATATTGTGATTAACATTCAAAAGAGAGAATTATTCTGGGATTATTGAGCTTCATCGTGAATGAAGTCATTGTAAGCTGTAGATTGCTAATTATAGCATATACCCTTAGGGAATCTAATGTCATGTTCATATCGTATCCCACAATATACAATATGATACGGCTCTTGACTGATGTAAGCCGCATAGTTTATGCGCTTCATAACTTCATTCACGGAGAATATTGCGTAAGATTTAACTACCAAATACATTTGTGATCAACAAACATTTTTTTTTTAATAAATAACAAATATTATACTTATATAATTCAAAGCGTTCATAAAAAATATATACAAAAATGTAAAAAATGTTTCGAATAAAATACTTGTTTCAAAGAAAAATATTTAAAAATAATGGAAAAAAGTTACATTACTATCTGTTTGGAAAAATTAAATAAGTTGTCTAACAATAAGTCTAGAAAGCTCTTAAAATACTTAAAATACTAAAGCAATGTGAAAAAGATTTTTCTTCTGAAAAACACAATTTATACCAAATTGCGTACGGCATCTCATAAATATAACATAAGGGATTAAAAAACTTTCAACAGCTGTCAAAGGCACAGTGACACATTGAGTGTTTACTTTTCAATTCTTTTATTCAATTCTGCAGCTTCTTTACTGATTAAGTAGACCAACTCGCTTTCAAATCAAATAAAAGTCTGATAGCCTGAGCTTCTGCTTTATTTAGGGGGATGGCGAGCAACCACGCACGAGCGACAGATCGAGAAATCGAAAAAGAGATCCAATAACTAAATAGAGACAGGAACAAGAGACGTATAATATCCGATATACGTTCACCCGGTCACGAAGTTAGCGAACGCTTGCTATGGCGAGGAATATCGATATTTTAACGGCACGGTATTTTTGCGACATTTCAGTGACGTGAGATCAAACACGAAATCTTTTTTTTAGGTCAATTCTTTTCTATTCATAAGATTTATGCATGTGCATTAAAATGTGCCATGAGTGAAAAATTCATTTTCGAAAGAACGTTTCGAGTCTTATTTTCCTTTTGCCATAAGAAAATGGAAGCTACGTTTTAAATCGAGCAGTAAATCGTGCGCTGATGACACTTAACCCATTGTCCCTAATAGAGCTGAATCAGTGAATCCTGTACTTTTCCTTCGAAAAGGACTCGTTTGATAGGGCCGACCATTTCGCAAAATAAATCGAGCGATTATCCCGCGGCGGCAAATGTGGGGACAGATAGTATACCTAAATGCATTGGCGGAAGCTTGTTACGCGCGATGTAGTCATGGCAGATCGCCATTGTGTCGGCTCCATCGGCATTATCACGAAGTGTCGAGAGAGTACCGCAAGGAGATCTTGCGTGTGTTTGTGCAACGGAGAGCAAGAGTCCCGTGGAAACAATTAATCTAGCCCTCTCTGATTACTCCACCGACGCATCCGTCCTTCTCCTTCCCTCTTTCCCCCTTTCTCCCCCTCTTTCCCCCTTATCTCGCCGATATCGTTGCTCTCGCTTCAACGGTGGCTGCAGCCGAGACGTCAAAACTCGAGATATTAATATGTTCTCTCTCGGCAAAGCAGAGGGATGGCGAGACTGTCTCGAGATCTTATTGATATTCCCTCTTCTGATTAAATTATTACAGCTCCGTTATATGTGCTTCACCATGCAAAATTAGCGCGGAACGATGATACTTTCGCTCTCTAAATACATAAATCTGTTTAGACGGCTGCGATAAAATGCTTATGCTCCGTTACAAACTTCGTGACTTCGGTAAACTGACTCCATTACGCGAAATGAGATTTATTCGGAGTATCTAATGGATTCACAGTACGATGCGATAAGGTCGTAAATAACAATCGACCGTGGCATGTTCTCTGCTAATGGCGCCGTAGAATTAACGTAAAACGTATGAGAATAGTTCTTTTTTCGAAAATAATAAAATACAGTAGGATATACCAGCGAGAAAACGAAATAGAAAACGAGTCGTCATATTATTCGCTTATAGAAATAATTATTTCTTGTGAAGAAATTTACAATATATAATATGGAAACATGGTACATATCTAAATAAAGATTTTAATCTAAAAAAGGAATCAATTTTCTAAAAAAAATTACATGCTAAATATACATTAACACATTCTGCTCTTAAAATTATTTTTAGCAGATATAAAATATACATATAATGCACATTTTCGTAACATCGTATAAGAAGATGTAATTTAATCTCGATATAATAACATACTTTTTACAAAATATTATCATTTTATAAGTCCGAAAGAGATCTTTCAAAATATCTATTGATTTGCAAAACATATTTTTCATCATTTATATATAACTTAATAATTATTATTATTGGATATTAAGAATAATATCACAATATATTGTTCTCGAATCAGTGGTTAATATTTAAAAGTCTGTTCTATATTATTAAGCAAACTCAAAATATAATCTTTCTTTTTGTAAAAATGATAATGTTAGAAATATTAAATACAGTGTATTTAATAAGTTTAATCTCAAAATTAAACTCAATTTTAACATAATACAAAAACCGATATATCGCATAAGCAGAGCGCCTTGCCTACGACGTGTAGATAGCCATATTGCGTTTTGGCGGCAGCAGTGTTAATCTGGCACATGTACTTTCCCTTGTCCTCCTCGTGCACGTCGTTGATATGTAGGAACCAGGTCCTGTGCTTATCGTGCGACACGGATATTCTGGGGTTCCTGGTAATAACGTGATTCTGTACCGTCAGGATAGCGCTCTTGTCGAAAAGCATCCAGGCCACCTGAAACGAGATGGATATCGTATTATACATCGTAAGCGCAGTTCGTGTATCGATTATTACGAAGTTGCTGTCCGTTCTTATGTAACGATATTTCGCAATATCATTCCCATTAAAACTTATATATACGTGTATTTATATGAAACGAGTTTATTTTCTGCCCTATTTTCTCATTAACGTTTAGATCTCGAATAAAGATTCCTCAACTATCACGGGAACGGTAGATCGTAAGCATATATATATATATATATATATATATATATTTCAGTTTTTAGTTGCGCTAGAATTCAAGGAAGATATAGAGAATAAAGATGTATCATAACGATATAAAGGAGAGGGAAAAGAACAAGGAAATATAGGAATGAGATTCGCGAACGAGACGGATGATCAATGATGCTTTCAAGCATAGAGTGATCTACAAACCTACTATGGTTATAGATATTCACCGGTGGGATAAATCGCTTTGGGATTTCGAGGGCAATATGTACTAACGTGCAACGTATATATATTTGTACATGCATACATACATACATACATATATAATACATATATATATATATACATATATATATAGCGCGTTGATATGCGCTTGATGTTTTATACGAGCAAAGTTTTCCAAGAGCACACGATGACATTGTGCAGACGAATAAAAACTGGTCCCCGTAGAGAGCCCTCGCCCTCCTCCCGCCCAACTCGGCCACTTCTCTCGTTAAATGACCGCTTATTGAGAATCCGGATGGTTGCATTCTGCATAGCTCGTTGAATAGCATCGATTGTTATTGTCGCTCGAAATGTGTAAGTTTTCCATCCTCACGGAGGAAGGGAAATAGAATAGGAAACCGGAGGCGGAGATAAGTAGAAAGTATCGCGACAACGGGATACGGAAGTGCTCTGAGATATTTAGCCGATTTTCCCATTCACGTCGAAGAAAGTGAAGGCCGAAGAAAGGTAACAAAGGGGAAACGCGGGCAAGGAAGGGTGGGAGGGAGGGGGGGGAGAGGAAAGGTAGAGAATAAAGAGAATTCTGATCTCTCATTCGCTCGCTGCGAAAAGTCCCTGGAGAAATAAGAAGGGCAGCGAGTTCTTTCGCACGAGCACGTTGGAACGTTGCACTTCAACATAGCCGCTCCCTTTCAGAATGTGCAAATGCGCTGTTGTACAGACAGGCTATATTGCGCCAGCGTGATAACTCTCGGGCGTCGCGCGACGCCTAACCCGCGTGACATTCGCAGCAGGCTCGCCGGAGGTGCGCGCGCGAAGGTAAAAGAGAGCAGGCTCGTTATCGTAAAGATCACCATTATACTATAATTAATAACACATAATTATAAATATTAATATTATTTACGGATAGAATAAAAGACAGGACAGATTTCCCGGGTGCAATTTCTTGAAGAAACGCAAGAGGGTTCCAAAGTCTTCACAACAAAGCCCTGCGCGCCCCGTGTAAGTGGGATTTACTTTTTACAATCGATTAACGCAATAGGAGAACAAAGTTCTTTTTTACGGCCGTAAATCTCGGCGAGCATAACTATTCGCTTCTGACTCGGAGCTAAGATCGTTTCGCAGTCGTTTCTCGCGTCTTCCGACCGTAACCGAATTTTCGTCCACCATTTATCCAGTCGCTCTTGCACCGGCGGCTGTCGGCGGTTATCTTCGCAGAGATATACGAATCTCGGCGGGGATTCCCGGCGTCGCGTCGGTGGGATTGCATAGATACTGAAAAACGCAGTTGACACTTTCATCATTTGCCTTTCCGCGACAACGTATCAATTGTTCGAATTTCATGGTGACAGTTTCGCGTCGCAATTTCCTATACAAAGTCTCTCTTTTTTAAATGCTATTCATTCTTTTTCTAGTTTTTTTAAATATATTAAAATGTGTGTAATCTTCTAGACGTAGAATTTTTTTCTATCGTAAATAGGATAAAAATGTACGGCTGAATTTAGTCTACAAAGAACATTAAAAAACAAAATGAGATCGTCTGCTTTGTAAAGTAAATTATGTATGTCATATTAAAATAATCATTGCGCGCGATTGTAAATTGACGAAATTTTACTTCAAGTTCATACATTCACTTCGTTAGAAAAATTTATTGAAGATAAGGTAGAAATTGTTAAATGATGCAATACTTTCCGTACGTTTAAAAGAGTTTTCTCAACTTTGCAGCGACAACGTTCTTTCGAAAATTCTTGGAGAAGATCCAAACAAAATGAGTTATATAAGGTCAGGCACCTATGTTCTTTACAGAACAATAAGGATCCTTAGCTCAATTCGATTTGATCAAACTCAATTTGATTTTTTTCATTGGTATAATCGAAGGAAATACTATTCTCTATTTCCTCTGATTGTCACTGCTCTTGCTTTGTAATAGCAAGCGTTAAACCTGCGCTTTTTCTCGAGGTTCTTATTGTATTCAATAAACGTAAAAAAAAAAAGTACGAAGAACAGGAAAAATATTGCAGTACGCAATCAGTCAGTGAGACAGAGAACTCCATTATTAAAAGCATATAATTCTCAACGGCACCGACGCCAATCTCGAAGCAATGAGAAATTTTTCCACCTCTCATTGATTTCTGCTTCGTCACTTACGGCGGATCTCTACGAGCCGACTAGAGACGCGGCAATGTAAAATAGGTGTTCCGTTAAGTTCAAGATGCGATACGCAGGTGACATGAAGAGCTACGCGGAAAGCAAGTTCGAGTGACCGTCTTTCCGACTCGCGGCTCGCTTTCCGATGCATCAACATGCAAGCCACACCAAAACTAAGATGGATGCGCGGGCGCGCGAGAGGGGTTTGCACTAGGAGTTTGTTCCCCCAAGAGCTGTGGCACGAAGCATTGATTCCTCAGCGTGAGAGGAGAGTTACAGCTTTGTTTACTACGAGGGCGACGAGCTCAGCGCCGTCCAGTCTGGCTTGGCGCTGGCTATGCTGTCGGTGTCTTCTTTTCCACCACGTTTCTCCTTTCCTATACCCTTCCCTCTTTCCACGGTCCGTGACTCTCCCCCTCCCCATCCGCCCCCTTTCTCACCCCCACGGAACGTCTGGACCGGGAGACCTATAGTTAACGTCAAGATCAACTCTCCTCGTCCTTTCCAACGTTCTTCTTCCACGCGAGTACTCCATGGTCCCCACGTACGCAAACACATTCACCAGCGAGACGGTTTATACGGAACCGTGGAAAGCGAAAGAGCGGCGTGGCTGAGCCAACCGTCTCGCGCACACCCCCTCGATCCTCCGTAGTCTCCCATCCCCTTGGCCATTGTGTATGTGGAAAGTTGGACCACATTCCGGCTGAATGTATTACAACCACTTAACCCGCAAGCTGTCGAGACCTTCAGACCGGAGAATCCATGCGGCGTATGAACCTCTACTAAGGCTGATAGTTCGCTTAATAGGCACATTAAGCGCGCTGACGGTTTTAGCTCTGGTTAAGCGATTATATAAGTGATACTTTTTATACATATAGAAATAATATCAGGTGGATGCGAAAGGTTTTTTTGTCAGATCTGTCAAGTAAAATTCCAAATGAAATCACAACCAAATCAAAACGTAACTTTAATATATTCCATTTTTTTTATTCAAAAAGATCATTTTTTCAAACGTTTCTCTAAAGAAGGCTCTTTGGAGAGAGAGAGATTTCTAACTTTATTCAATAAAACCTGACAGAAAAACAAAAAGTCTTTCGCAATAATTTAATATTATCTATACAATAATTTCAACTCGAGTTTATTTATAATTTCGTCTTTCTTGTACAGAATTAACTGAGAAACGATTAATTTTTTTTATTAAGATCTTGTTTTTCACTGTTCCCTTTTGTTAATTCTATTGGAGTAATTTTATCGGATGCATTAACGTTTTAAATATTCGCGTCGCACTAGAGACACTTTATTACTCTCGCTTACACAAATACACTTGTCTAGACATCGGAGGGTATCCGGACAGAAATTTATAACGTGTAAAGCGGCGAGAGGAGTCAGTTAAGTTAAGTCAGTTAAGTTCGCCGAACTTTCGCTGTACTTCTTGGTATAAAATTGGATCAGGTTGGCACTCAAACTGTCGAAAATTCAGACCGTTCGACTGTGTCCTCTCCCTCCTGCAGCTTGATTCAACAAATCGACCGCGATAAATTGTCCTCCCGACACACGATCGTTTGTGTTGCATCTTATACGCGTTTCGTTTACGCGATAGCATGTGTGCCAGGTAGACGCATTTTATTTATAGAATCGGGACTCTTGGTCTCTTAGATTAATGAACGCGGAGACGTAACAGTGCGGTTTGGTGTATACCGGCTTGCGAAGCCGGGTCTTCATTAGTAGACCCTTCTTACCTCACGCTCATACGGTACCGCACCCATGCAAGAACTTGGGACACCTTATAGATAAATGTATTAGGACCACTTATCCCACAAGCTGTCGGGTGCTTCGAGGTTGTAGACAACCTCTTAATTATCATAGAGCGTTAAGCCATTGCGCAGGCCGGAAGTACGAGAGTACTGCCGTGAGTGCTAAAAGCACCTGGAAACTTCGTGTCAAAGACTGTAAATAGGTGAGATTATCTTGCACCGCGCGAAGTCCGCATGACACGAAGTTTCTCATACGATTAAAAAAAATGTATATACCTCATCTTAAATGATGAATGATCAATTAGCCGTTTCTGGCACACGGCTGTTTGCTGAAGATCGAAAGATCGTCTCACACCTAACGATCAGTAAAATGTAATTCATGTGGTAATAAAGAAAGGGTTGAGTAAAAAATGTAATATCGATATTTTGTCTTTAGTGTGAGACTCGTCACTTAATAACTTACTTTGTCTCACATACATTTTCTGCATTAGAATAAAAGAGTTATGTACGTATGTATATTTTCAAGTTTTGAGAAAGAGAAAATGGGGAAAATACAGAAGATCAAACTAAACCGAATAGACTTAATATTTTGTATCGATTTTGCGTAAAATTTTAATTCATTGTTAGACGAAACATTATAAATATTATAGTGCATAATACAATATCCAAATCATGATATTTTTATTTCAATTTATAATTCTGTTATGCCTTCGCTTATGTAAAAGTGTTAACGTATTCGTATAGATACATATACCGCAATTGTTTCAAGACGTACGACAGATATGCACGACAGATATAACATTTTAACCGCGTAACGTCTCACATTTTCATCAAACGACCGAGTGCCATAGCTGGATCATAACGACAGAGAACCGGATGCTGCTTCTTGTCAGCCGGGAAGACGTCGCGCGCTAGCGAGAAGCATCGCGCGCCGCCCTCGCCGCCCGTCGCTTGTCAACACGTTCTTTCTAGCGGAGTTCGAGCGCGCGTTCCCCTCGGTTCCGCAGTGCCCGCCAGTGGAAACGCAGGGTGAGAGACGTGATTCAATTTAAAAATCATTCGCTAAGTGCTTGGGCTGAAATATCCTTTTTTATTCGAGAAAACACATCGCGCCGCCGCGCTTCTTCCGGATAGGGCCATTTAGCTCGCCGCTTTAATTCACGTTGTCCTGGCGGACCCACGTCGGTCGTGAATCCCCCTTCGACGTTTCGACGCCGAAATATGGACGGCCGCTCTCGAACCGCTCGCTGGCAACGGCCACCGAGCTGCGGTTTTAATCGTCACGTAGTCCGACGATCTCTCGCATTACGCCTCGTTCGCTTTGCGAAGAAAAACGGAAAAAATAGAAATGCGTTTGCGACAAAGTGTTTTTGTCCACTCGCTAGCGAGAACGTGTTATTGAAAACGTAACGTTATTGCGTTTAAAGGGAGCAAGCGAAAAAAAAGTGTGGCAACAAATAAACGGTTGACTCTGTTCGATTTACGAGGATATCGGCGATTTTATTATATTAGCTGATCTCAAGATCCTATTTATCGCGTTTCTACAAAACTCGGTCACGAAATTGTTATTGGCGATTAAATAGATCACAATTTGGTGCAGTTCGTAACCTCACAGTTGATAATTGCGACTTAATCGAAGAACTGAACTTAAACGAAGTTCAGCCTGATACACGGCACAAGTTCTATTTCTCGCAGAGTTCGATAATCCATTCTTAAGATAGAATTTTATACATACGTACTTAGACACGTACTTATGCCAATAGATTTTAACTCTTTTATCCGTTAGTATAATATTTTTACTGATAATGTTCAATTTTCTGCTTATATCATTTAATTAAATGTGTTCGAAAGTGAAAAGAGATTGCGCGCATTTCCAAAAAAAAAAAACACGAATTAATCAAGTATTCTGCAAAATAGAGTAATCATTTTTATAAAAAATTTGATTTGAGATTCAAGAATAAATCTTCAAAACGTTACAGCTAGAGATTATGAAATACTGCCTTTTTAAAATTGCCTTCTTAAATGATAATATTAGATGACAATTTTCTTTGCTTTTTTTTTATTAATAAAACGTGCAATATGTAGTATGCATTTGTTCGAAATCAATTTTTTTCAAACTCTACGTGAATATATCCAGCGATTGAATATCAAAATACTTAATTATCAAAATTCATTTATTGAATTATTTCACGTCTCAAGACTTTTCAGTTAAATTTCTTTAAAAAAAAAAAAGGAAACGCGATTGTAAATATGTATACATATCAGCGATGCAGATATATAGACATTTTACAGTTGATATAATTATGTCAGAGACGAGAAATAAAATTTATCTTCGTTTCGATCGGAAAAATATCTGATGTAGGTAGATATATGTCAGATATTTATTTTTACTGTCATTTTCTTCTGATTTTTTTATCTTTTTTGTCTTAGAGCATAAAAAGTGTGTGATTTTAAATCAAGAAATATAAGATTAATGAATAAAATATATGAGATTAAACTGCGATATGTTTTATGACGATTCAATCTGTTTTTTATAATTATTGAAATCACACAATTGTACTTTTTATGAGTAAAAATATCACACGAAGTAACAGTAATCGATTAAATTGCATAAATATTTATTCGAGCAAAACGAAGATGGATTTTATTTTTCAACTAACATTATATATGCTTGACAGAACTTTTCAAACAGGATAATTAATCAACCATTTTTTATTTTCATTTAAGAAAGAGCTTAAATAATACGTTAAGCTCTATTTAAATAATTTGTCATTTGTGCCAAAAAATTCAGGCTAGAAATCTATTTGTAATTTTATATGTCACGTATTTTTGTATGTGTATTTTAATATATATATATATATATATATATATATTAAAAGAGGCTCAAATAAGATTTCTGTCGAATCTTCAAACTCTCGCAGCAGAATAGAAAGGAGTCGTTACCTCTCGCGACGCTATACGAACGAATCCACAAAGCGGAGCGCAGATAACGGTGTTCGACAACAGTGCCTCCGTCATGCCTTGTGAGACGGGAACGTACATACATCTATATTTTGTTACACATGGGTGTATATATATCCCGTAGCGCGGGGGTGACTGTTTGGCTGACACGACGCTCGGTGCTTTGCGGCGTACGGCGCGCTGTTTTGTATACACAACACAAGGTCAGCGCCGTTCGAGGCTACTCGGAGTAGGGGCAGTGGGGCGCGTAGTGGCGCGAGGCGAGAGGCCGGCGAGACGTGCGTCGTCTCATTATTTTTCGCGGCGGGGGCGGCGCGGGCGGCGCGGCCGCGACGACGGCAGCGCAGTCACACTTCTCGCGTCACTACGAACGAGTAGGTTAACTAATTTACGATTGACGCCTTTCGTACAGTGTCGAAACTGCGGGTATTTGGTAGGATCAAAAGTCCGTTTGAAGCAGGAATCGTATGGCGATAAGTATAAGAATAATTATTGCTTCTTTCTATTCGAAGTAACAATAAGACGATCTCTTTAACGATGCTCGAATCCACGAATTTTCCGTCGAAGTACAATAATAAACGTAATATGCGGATCCATTGGACGAGATAATTCGAGCAATCGCGAGAGCCGCGATGTACGGATCGTTCATAAATAATATGAACGCACAAAATGGGGGCTATCGTTTCTATTTATTCTCAAACGACATATCTGCAGTTTAAGGCTATCTAATATTTGATTCGCGTTGTATCGCGCGGTATCGGAGCGTGTAGTTGATGTCAGTCTCACCTCTTTGCGGTTGCGAGGTTAACGAAACTTTTCGCGGGTATGTAATGTATATATGTACGCGAGTCGGGAATCGCCGTCGAGCGGCGCCGAGGCGCATTCAATCAGCAAGGTACAGGTCGTAATTAACCCCGCGTTTTAACAGTCGTCAGCCGCGTAGCGTAAATTCGATGTTTGTACGTCGGTAATTTGTTAAAACGCGCATCTAGCGGGATTCATTCGGTCGAAACTTGCCGCATGAGTAGCCGACAGAAGCGACGAACGGGCTGCATTACGGATGTTGTATCCCGTGAATAATTATCTTTAATTTCGACTCGCCCGTGTTTGTCCCTTTCGCTTGTGTCGCATAATGCGGGATAATAGAAACGCTCGACAACAACGACGAGTTTCCAAAAACGTGAGCGCGTTCGTTTTGCCTGTCGTTTGAGAGGGAGGGAGAGAGAGAGAGGAGAGAGAGAGAGAGATAAACGTAACATCGCATCGTCGCGGTGCGGCGCGGCGGGTGGCGCGTGAAGTTGGGCCGCGTGCTTCTCGAATTCCCACCGTTGTTCGAGATTCGTCCATTACGCTAACTTATACGTGACGTCGCGAGTGTCGTGCGGTTCGTGGCGTCGTGCACAATCGTGATTCTTTCGCGGTTACACCGCCATCGCGGCGCGGTAAAGCGCGCGCGTCGGGTGCGATTAATGCCGGGAGTGTCGCGCGATCGTCGTACTCCGGTGATCACTGCGCGTAGGGTCGTAATTAACCCGCGCTGTCGCGAGTGTTGTGCGAGCGCCATGGAAGAGCCAGGCACCGCGGAGGAACGCGAGAGGAGCAGGGAGGCAACGACGGAGCAACCGTGGGGTAAGTAAATTCATTGTTTATTCATTATTTGTTATTTGTAATATATTAACGGTCCATTCCTGGCGCCCATAATAATTTGGCATTATTATAAATATGATATCTGTGTATATAAAATATTTGTTTAGTTTTCATAGATTTTTTTTTATTCAAGACATTTAAAATTTAATAAAATATTTACAATGTCTAATTTTTTTGGACTTTTCACATAAATAATGTTTATTTTCGAAAATTATATTATCGTTTTATTGAATACCAACTTGAAGGCTAAATAAAATATTAGACCAATAATTACCTTTGGATATATTAATTATTTTGCGTGAAATGTAATTTGAAAAATTTGTATTTTACAAATTACAGATCAACTCTTTGTATGACAACTCCGACACTGCGCATCATATCGGTGAGTGACGAATTTTTTTTAATTTTAAGCTGATGGAGAGATCTATGAAAACAGTAACGTGTATATATTATTATATTATTAAAAATTCAAGTATATACGTGAGTATAACAAAGTGTTACAAACAAATGTATAATATTTCATAGATCTATTATCTGAAAATGGATGGGCTAAGAAATTTTTGTGCAAAGATTTAACTCTGAAATACTTATTCTATAATCATCCGTCAATTTACTATTCATTTAAGAATGCAAGATTAAAGTAAAGTTCGTCAAATTAACATTGATTCTTCATTAATCCGGTTTAGACATTTACTGATATTTTAATACTTTAATATATAAAGAGTATTAATTATAAATGAATGAAAAATGAGTCCATGAAACAAGCTTTATACTATTTTAACTTTAATTAATATTAATTCGTAATTGTTGTGTCGTGGTTAAATATAGTACATAAGAAGATATAATACATAAGAAGAAATTTACTCCGCATTGAAGGGATGTATTCTAGACAAAAATATAAAATTGTTTCGTCCGTAAAAAAAAACCTATTGGACGATGCTTTTATATTGTTCCGAGATATACAGATCGTAAAAAGAAAGTTAAGTTATGTGTAGGGGAACAATTCTTTCAATGTGCAACGTGGTAGTTGTCCGTTTACAAACATCGCGAATCGACGTCGAGTAGAATCGTTGCGTTATTCCATAACGTTCTGACGTCTCCTCCATTCGTAAGTTATGGGGTTTCGAAGTGCAAGAGTGAATTCCGCCACTTGGAGCAAGATCAGCGGCTAACTTTCACGCACCATCGTAAATCCACTCTTGTACTTCGAAACTCCGTAACTCACGATCGGATCATCGGTATGATACATTATGGTGCGCCATCGGGATTCCCGCTATGATCTCTGGTCTATGACTTCTACAGCGCGCTAAAAATACGCGCTCCAAGAGAATGATATGTATTCGCCGGCCGCCGTCTCCAAAGTGCATTTTCTCACATTTGGTAGTAAAATCAAATAAAAAAAAGCAGAATACTTATTGCCGCGTATCGTGATTTACGAGATGGAAAGGAATTGCTTTTATTCGTACACGATCGGATGCGGGCAAATTGACAAATTGTGATTGAAACTCACGTAATTATTTGTATTCGTGTAAAAGCTGACAAACGAACGGGCGGGATATTTCGCGAAGATATTAAAAGATTTAATATTGCGATTATTAAAATCGAATAAATTCACAATTATTTATGTATGTTAAACAAAACATAAAATTGCAAATTATACTTTATTATCTTGAAATAATTATTAATTATTCAGTGATTATTAATTATTCAGCTAGATGCCATGTAAATCGCGTGGAAAAAATATCGTGTAAATCTGAGATTAATGTTTTATATCTCTTATCCCGCGTGAAATTCATTTGCAAAAAGTCAATAGAATAAAGTTGAAGAAATCCGCGGGTATAATATTAATACACGTACAACTATTCGAAATGTTAGGTTCCCCGCGATCGATTCCACATTCAACCAATATTGATATTAGATTGGTTATTCATACTGCTTTAGCATACAACTGTTCAAAGGTAGCGACATTATGCGCGCCGATATAGAGCTTACGTGTACAGAGCAAATTATCGAATAATATTCCGTTTAATTATTAAAGAAACTGCATCGTAATTTCTATTCAAACTGTCGATTAAAAGCTGTCGTATGAATATCTAAGCTAGAACGGAGTTAATAATGCTAAACCATGCTTATGCACATATTAGTATTTGAATTTACATGTAGTACGTCGTACATGTAAGATATTATTCATACGAATACCCATAACAACTGATTCATGCGGCAGTACAATTATTAATTGCATATTATGTTACATAAACGAAAAATATTAATAGAATAGAGTATAATATAGTTAAATATTAAAATATTAGATCTTTTCAAATTTTTCTAATAGAAAACTATATGAAACTCGAGTAGTGAACTTATTAGACCTGTAATTTATTAGATGACTGGCTCGTCTTTAGTCTCTCAATTTAATTTAAAGTTTAATTTAAGCAAACATGAAATTAATAATTTATTCTTGAAAATTATTAGCTTAACATTGAAAATTTTAAAGTTAAAATCTTTTTTTATTTGTATTAATGTTATTATACAAACGTAATGAAAATATCTGGTTTATAACATGAGATATTGTTTAATTCAAATATGGAATTAATAAAACAGTTTGTTCTTTCGTTTCATAATTAGAAATATAATATTTAATGAGTATGGGGTAGAATTGCTCCAATTACATATTTATGGGATATTCTATTAATATTTTCGAGGATGAGTAATACTTTTTAAATGTACTAGCATTGAAAAATGATTACAATATCCAAACATGCAATTGCGACGTTTTTTTTATTGCTGTCATCAAATTGTTAAGAATCACGTGTGTAGATTTAATCCACCGAGGCGAAGCAATTGCAATATTACACATCACGTAGCCTACTAGACGCTGAAAAATTGTCATCTGCGTCTTAGCAGCTTGAATTCCCAAGCCGCACGCGAATGCACTTTAAGTGATTACAAAACTTCTTTCGCTCGACATGGGGGGGGGGGGGGGCACC